CTAAGAATACCTAGGGTCATATCCTCAGCTTCTCAAACATTCTTCCATCATTACACTAGCTTTGCTTATGTGTTTAATGTTAATTAGAAGAACAGGAGACTTCGGACAAGGTACCCATTTTTCTCTCCCTTTGCCCTCCCATCCTATCCGTTCTCTCCCCCCTCCCCCATCCTCTTCTTAGGAAAAACTAAGGAGTTATTGTAACAATACACTAGCACCGCCTTGTGGCTTCAGAGAGTACTAGCAGATACATTGGTGTACAGTAGATTGGATAAGAATAAGTTAGAGGCAATATAATAACTTAGTATGACTATGCCTAACGTGCCATAACAATGTGGAATCTGAAAATCAGATAGTAGACTTTGGACTGCACTCTAGACAGAAGATAAATAACAGCAATTGTGAGATGACTAAAATAACACTATGCAATTTTGTTTACTGATTTAAGAGTCGACGTTGACGTGATAGCACATAACCAATGACTCGTTCAATCCATCATTCATTCATATCAGACAGTAATTAACCTATATGATTTAATGAGCAGAGCAAAGTCATTCTGCATTCAGTTGTCCCTTAGCTCAGAAGTAACAGAATGACTTGGAACAAGAGCTGCTTGGAAGGAGAAGACTTGTTAGAAATGCAGGACTAGAAGCAAGTAGGGGGCAACTGAGTCCTGCCCTTGGCATTCCGTCAAGGTCCTTTCTTTGAGCGGCACTTTTCTGAGCAAATCATACAATCCATTCTGCCACGTGCACAAACACAAGGCAAGAACCATGATCCTTCTGATACAGTATCAAAGCACTTCCATAGCAAGCAAAATGGCTCTTGGTACTTTCTGTATCAATAAAAGGGACAGCAAATTGCTGTTGACTACTGGTTTAAGAAAAAGAAGAAGAGCCCCCCAGTTCAGTGTAAAGTTCAGTCCTGTATTCTGTTTCCCAGAGTAGCCAACCAGATGCCTCAAGGAAATCCTCAAGTAAGGTCTGAAGGCAACGTACCTCATTTGTCTTCTGTCATTTTACATTCTGGAAGTAAGTCCATTTCTGCACAATATGTAGTGATCATGAAAACCTTATTCTTCATCTGCTGGCAATTGCAATTATCATAAGTAATTAAACTCCACGTATGTGTGTGAGAGAGACACGTCTCTGTTGGCTGGCACCGGAAGAGTCACTAGCAAAGAGCTTGCAAAATTGCATCCACTCCAGACCCTTGCTGTTCGACCAGTCTTTATTTACATAAACACACGTACACAATTTTTATGTTCACAGTACATGTTCTACAGTTGGATAGCTCACAATACCTTCCTAAAATAAAATAAAAAAAACAAATTCTTTCCCCTTCTTTATCAAACCTCTTCAGAAAGAGAGAACAATTCAGCTGCCTCCTAGAAGAAAGCCACTTCCCTGGCATTACATGGGGATGGGATTCTAAATTGCTGGTGCTGAATAAGGCATAACATCTACTTTATGTTACTGACACACCCTTATCCAGACTGGTACCCTCCAGGTGCCTCGGAGTATAATTCCCATCATTCCCCAGCCGGCACAGATAGCACTTCTGGAAGGCATCAGGTTGGAAAAGTCAACACTCTAGATGGAATCTAAAGTTCCTAAGCAAAATGCTATCGATATGCATTTTGAAGAATTTCTCTGCAAGAGCAACTTGTGAGCAAGCTCTCTGGAGAGAAATGTAAACATTGCTTTTATCCAGAAAGTAAGAAAGGTGGGAGAATTTGGATCCAAGGCTGATTTCTCATGGAGTTAATTTCAGTTCCACAGCTATGACACGGTTTGTGGGACACAGGGCATCAAGTTACATTAGCTGGAAAAAATGGGGAATTAGGCCACTGAACTACAATATCAGATCTGTTGAATTTCTAAGAACAGCACATTAAGAACTGCAGCTGCCCTTAAGAGTTTGGTGCAGCATAGTAAAAAATGGAAGACTTCTCCGGCCAGCTTGATAGCAGGCAATGAAATAAAACAGCCACTCCAAAACCTCAATACCTCTGCTGTTCCAGGGCCCCTTCTAAACTTAGCATTAGCAGCTTGTGCTCTCTAAGAGCATGCCATATCTGTCAGCCATTTCAGTGATCACCTTTGCATGTTTTGAAGAGTTCTGTTTGTCTGCAGATTGGGAAAAAAAAAACAACTTATCTGAATACAGTACTGTCTGAACCATGTAGCATCAACCAGAAGGCTTGATTAGTACATCGTAGTGCCTGTGGTGTAAAATCACCAAATGAGACCCTGCTTTTGAGACCTGGTTTGGTTTCTCTGTGCTCATCTCACAAGCATTGTGGTCAAAGGCTTATTCCTATACAGTTCATTATTCGTCATGTGAATCTTTAACAAAACCTTGCAAACAGTTTTCATAGCAACACAGGAAAGCTTCAGGACTCTATGACTTGTAGGTGAATTGCTCTTGCAGTTGATGTCATGGCTGTATATTTGACTTGTCAGATCAGCGGAAGTTGATGCTGAATGGCAATTGGAGAGGACACCAAGCAGGAACATGCTGCAGACTCACCTCTTGGCTTGTGAGCTTCTCAGGCACCTAGTTCCCCAATGGGAGAAACAAAATGCTGGACTGGAGAGACTCTGGGCAGCTACCATAAGGCTCTCCTGATATTCATGCTACATTTTGCTGATATCCAGTCCTGCATGAATAAAGATATGTGGGGAAGTCATCTCTGGATCCCATTCTTGAATTTTAGGGACATTTGTCAAGAATCCTTGCTAGCTATTGACCAAACCTGTTGACTTGGCTGTTCATTGTGTTTCCCATGTGACAACAGCCTGCCCTTATAAAATCTTATTCAGAATATAAGAATCTTCTCCTGTATAATCTTCTATTAAGAGTGGAAAACTAGGAATGTACAACTCATACCCCATGGTCTTTACAGTGTTCATCTCCACTTCTCTCTCTCCTCTTAAAAAAACGGGTGTAGCAGGTTTTCTCTCCTCAGGCGGAGGGGACCATTTCCATTGCTGAAAAAACATCTACTTTCTCATCCTCCCAGGAGCTATCTGGGGGTGTAAGTTTCTTTTCCAATTGTTTTTAAATGCCTGGAAGATCCTAATTATAACTTTCTCACCTAGTTTAGTCTAGTTTAGCTCTTGGTGAACATTTGACAACGAGGCTCAATATTCTGACTCATCAAATAACAACTTGCAACTTACCGAATGTCAGACACTTCACAGTTTCTAAAGGCATTTCCCATGTCCTTTTCAGATGGACCCCAGGATTTGCAGGGTAACTCACCTTTACAGCACTCTCACTGAATGTCTGAACTGCTACCCTTTAAAAATACTGTATTGTTTTAAAAATGTGTGGTATTGTGGAAGCAGTGTAAGGTATCTGATCTGGGATAACAGCTGTGTACATTGTATGAATTCTTCAGTTTGTTTTTACTTCATCTTACAGTTGAATATTTACAATTCTAACCATGGCTGAGCAATTACTTAGGCCAGCTTGGGGGCATCATACTAACACGCATCACAAGTATCACATGCATGTAAAAAGAAGAGGGGCTTCAATTGCCTGGCTGTACCTGCCATTATGATGCTGAGACACATGCACACTGCAGATGCCCCAGCAGATTTCCCAAATCCGGTGCCTCCAGATGTACTAAAACCACAACTCCCAGGATTCCTAGTAGTCTGGAGTTTGCCTGGTTGGGAATAGCTGGCCTTGGCTATTATATACATGATGTTCTCTTCATTGCCCATAGGGGGCGCTTATTGCCTATATATTCAACAACAAGATGCACAAGGAGGAATTCCTGCCTATGCAAGTTAGGAAATATTTTGGAAATATTAGGCTTTGGAATGAAGAAAAGACAGTCTGGTAACACTGCTCTTAAAAACCAAAGCACACCATATGCTAAGGCTGCAGCCAAAATGAAATACTTTATTAATCTGAGTCGTAACAACAATTATCAAAAGTAGAAAACAAAATACAGAAGCTACAAAAATAACCGAAAGCTGGTTTTAAAATATCACCAATGACTGATACTTGACACATGTAGTACAATAATAGGTCACCTACCACAGCAACAGAGGCGATCAATAACAAGACGGAGCGCACATAAACAGCTCCTGCTGAGACCAGGCCTTGAGAACAGAATAAGCAAGTAATCTTTTTGTTTGTTTGTATGTTGCTCATAACTTAATGAAGCATCTCAAAAGATCATTTCTGCCCAATTATATCTGTAGAAATGCAGCCCTTGCTGGTCTGGAGGATAAAAATCCTTCGGAGTTAATATTGCAGAACCATGTGATGGTGGGAGAGTTGGAGTTTGGGTGGAATAAGCACAGTTTTCTTAACTACCTAGGCTGCCATAGGCTTCTTTCAAAGAGGGCCATTTATTTAATTGCTGTGGGCACCAAAGTAAAAGATGGAATTACTTTCAGCAGGCAAGAACTGATTGTGAATACACCTCCCTGCGCACAGGAGTTCAAGCAGACCTGCAGAAGCAAATGAGATACAAATATTGTTGACAGGAAAGGTACATTTCAGTTCTGGAACAGCAGGGAACGTTAATGGATAAACTTGAGAAATACTGCTATCTCCAATCTGATCTGACCTCACGGGGAATTGGAAAACTTTCATAACGCTTTGAATGACTCAGAGGAAGGACAGAAAAACATCTACCATATAAATAAGGCCACAAGTAGTTGCCTTCCTATATCCTCCCTCACCTCAGCACCCTCCAAATAGTTCAGATAAAATACCCATAATCGCCAGCTAGTGCAGCCATTAACCTGCTGCCTAGGTATTATGGGAGTTGGAGACCAATGCAATTAACCAGGAGGGTATAATATTAGTGGAAGCTATCTTAATATAATGATTAATCGTTTCTCTTGGTGGTCTTCCTTGTGCCTCTGAATTAAGGGTGCTATCAACCCTGACAAAGGAAGAATAACACAAATACCATTTTCTGCAATTCCCAGTTCCTTCATGGACTTTCCATCCATCTGGACCCTGCTTGGGCTTCCATACTGTAGACATGGTGAAGAACAATCTTGATCCTGGAATAGTTCCTTCTTGGAAATGGAAGGATCCATCCAACGTGTTCATTCATTATTTCTCACAAGCACAAGCCAGGGAAGTACAGCCCCCAACAGAGTGACAGCAGAGACAAGGAAAATGGCCATCATAATAGGTGACTGGAAGCAGCCCGTTCCAAGAGATGTTTCAGGTCCCACTGATTCAGGAGGTTCCATAGTGCTGTGATCCTGAGCTATGGTAACGTAGTTCTCTTCAATTAGTGGCATTCCACACTGAGTAATAATGAAGACCTGGGATTCACGTTCCAAGCCACTGGGCTGTACCACAGAGTCCATGGTAGGATACCTCTGCAAACCTTGGTGTCTGTCATAACTGTGCAGGGGCAAGAGGAAATGGCCAGGGACCACCAAAGTATTTGCAGGCCCCAGTGGCACTCCGCAGGGCAACAAGGAAGGTGAGAGTGGCAACTCCAGGGAGGGTGGACTCAGGGCTGGCTTGGAAGGCCAGCAGTCCCTTTTCTTGCAGAGAAAGGTCACAAAGCGACAGATGGGGCATGTAAGGGTATTTTGCAGATGGCCTTCATCACGTGATAGTAGACACTTGACCAAACAGTCGTGGCAAAAAGAGTGGCCACAGCTCAGCATCCGGCGTGACACTTTTGGAGACTGAAATGTTTCATAACACACAGGGCACTCATCCGAGGTGGCAGCAGGAACTTCTTTGCTAGTGTTGTTCTGAGACATCCCTGCCCTCTTAGATCACTTCTGTGAACCAAGCTGGATGAAAAGCAGAGCATGCAGGTTTATAAACAAACAGCTACAAAGTGAAGAAGAAGAATATGTAAATGTAAACATAAGACTAGCTACAGTTCCAAGCTGTTGGGAGGAGCTGCTGTCCCACACCCAGAGACTCCCTTTTCCATCTGTGTGTGGTTCTCCACAGGTACTATTTAGGCAGGGCTGTACAACTTAAGCAACCTGGAACAGTATTTGGTCCCACAAAGCCTTGTATGTAGCCCTTACAGCCCTCCAAAACTGGCTCATAAATTAAATAAATAAATAAATAATAAATAATAGCAACTGCATTCAATTAATCTAATTTTAAATCCTATCTGCTTGTGAATGTTAGACACACACATGCACACACATTTCTATCTCACTTTCTAGCCAAAATACTTTCATGTAACCCATGTCTTCCTAGGTCCAAGTTAGCTAACCATCCCAAACCATAACAATACAATATAAACCACCACCACCATCCAAATTGCAGCAAAACCATTTATGGTGTAAAATACACATTAGCCACCCCCATTATTTGTTTGGTATGACACCAATATGTTACACAGTTACATACATACATATCAAAAGATGTTCAAATATGTTTCATCCACAGAGATACTTTGAAGTACATTGTTTTCTGAGGCTCTGCAGCTGTCCCACGAGGAATGCCCTTGTAGCATCTTTCTCCAAGGCACCAAGCCTTCCCCAAGCACTTCTCCATGCACTCAGTCTTTCTAGGTCTGATCTTCTCAGCACCCTATGAATCAGCTTGCCTATATAATGAGAGATGGTTGCTGGGTGGCACACGCTATAGCTATGCTTTGTCTTGCATCAGACCTTTAAGAAGAGCAAGTGGCCAGAAGGGTGGCTCCCAAGGAGTGAATGTGGAAGAACTTGTTTGTGGATTGTAGTTTTCTCCTTCTGGATTTGGGACTTGGGGAGGAGTCACCAGTAAAATACCTTTTTATGGGCCCTGCTATGCCATGCCTATGAAATATTGAAACTGAATTACCTAGATCTGTTTTATCTTTAACTTGTTTATTTCTGACTTACTTGAGAGCTAGGCAGAGGATTTGTTACTCTGCTATAGAAAAGGTAAGAGTCTACGCAGAGTAAGACTACCATATCTGGGCTGCAAAACATCCAGATAGCAGCAAAAAGTTGGCATTTTCAGGATGTTGTTGCCGTTGCCCCTATTGTGCAGGGCCTACAACTGAACAACAACAACACACAGTAAGCTTAATATAGAAGGGCTGATGCTTGATGGTTACGCATATAGAAGAGCCCAGATACAAAATCACAGATCTTCAAGCAGAGTTTGAAAATCTGCATGAATCCTCTGAAAGTGAATGACAATCAGTGTCAGTAATCTGGGACTCAGTATAAAGCAGATTACCATATTGTTATATTGCCAGCAACAGTTCTAAAGATTCTGATGAAGTTCATAATGCATTTGGCGCACTGATGATATCTAGTTGGGGTAAGGAAACATCTGCAAGCAAACAGCCAAGCTTAGTTGGATGTGTATGAACCTCTGCGTGTGTGTATGTGTGTGAAAATCATGAGTTTGGCTGGCTTACTATTCTATGTGAACCCAGCCAATTGTGTTCAAACAATCATAGTTCAATAAACCATAGTTTAGCATGATATACTAAATCAGCAAATTGGAAGGGTATATGATATGTGTATATGTGCACTCGCATACTTTGAAAATATTTTAGGAGTCTCAAAACTTCACTTGGTCTAGAATGCAGCAGCTCTCTGGCTAATTGGTTGATTGGGTCAAGATGCTGTATTTACATAGGTAATATAATTGTTCGCACTTTTGAGCTTTAATTAAATCCTTCTGAGTTAAAGAAGAATTACTCATTGGGAATCTTGGAAAAGATTTCATCTTCAGAACTACAGGTGAATTGATTGAAGATTAGGAAGTATCTCCTCCCATCCTGACATTATATGAGACCTGGATCCTGATATGCAGCCATCTAAGTTTAGACTGGCATCTTCTAAGATGTGGTAAACACTAATTTTCTTGCCTAGGCCAATGGATAGATTTTGACAGTTCTTTGAATAGGATTTTGGGAAGAACACAGAATCCCCATCAAATAAGTGGAGGAAATGTTTACATGGCACCACTCCATGTACTTTATATTCTTAAATTCAGTACTTTGGACATTGTGATAAGCAAAGTTAACAGGAGACTGCTTGGTTGATAGTTAGTCTCCTGACCGTAGCAATTCTGCTTCGCCAGATGTAGGGTAAAGATATTTGGGAAACCAAAGCCTTTTAAACAGGGAAAGAGGGCAAGGATATGCTCTCAAGCCTAGTCTTTTAACCCAACATGGTACTGAAACAAACATAAACAAAGAAAAAGAAGAGTCAAATTAAAGGCAAACAGCGCTTCCACCCCCACCCCAATACTTCGATATATTTTATATTTGGAAACATATTTAATACTAAGGAGGAATGCATACATTTTAAATATCAGTTTTCAATATTTTTATCCACAATGACATTTGTACCAGCAAGGTTAATCTATTAGAAAAAGCATTCTTAATATACTTTATAAATAGTGATTTGATTTAAGAAAACCTATACATAATTGCAGTGAGTTCATTACTTTTTTTTTTTTTTTTTTTTTTTTTTTTTT